GACCTCCGCCGGTAAGCGTGTAGTGGAGCGGGAAGCGGGTGGAGGCGGCGAGGGCAACGGCGTGACTTTCTGCGTACGTATGCTTTAATGTTGCAGATTCCACCGCCGCAGCAGATGGCCAACTTCTCTGACAAGATGAAAGATAAAGCCATTGACCTCCAGAACTTTGGCCTCCGCACCGACCAGTACAAGAGGAACTCAAAGGTCTGAAACGCTAATCCGCAAACATGTAAATTCCCTCAAGGTAATGAAAGTGACACATGAGCCTGAATCTCCGCAAAGTGATCCTGAAGTCTGTGATCTGAAATCTGCCATTCTGCAGATTGGCGGTACTTTCTTCAGAAACTTTGATTCTTTCTGTTGTAATGTTAATCACATTACTGTACATTTTTTATTAGGTGCAATAATATAGTTTCAAAAAAAAAAAAGTGACATGATTATCCACGGAGAAATACATAGTCATAGCACAAGCGTTTCTTCCACAAGGTAACGCAATGTGCATCACAAAATTAAAAGTACAACGTTTAAAAGCATATACAGAGTTAAAAGATATTTTCAAAGCAAAGTAATGAAATCAGGTTGTTTATTATGTTTTGCTGCTTTCAGGGTAAATCAGTGGCGTCCTCTCGGGAGTGGACCGAGCAGGAAACTTTGCTCCTGCTAGAGGTCAGTTCCTCACCGTTTACATTTTAAACATTTCTTTACAAGCATCCCTAAACACAGAATCTTTATTATATTTATTTATTTAAAAAATGTAATGCCCCTGGCAGGCTCTGGAGATGTACAAAGATGACTGGAACAAAGTGTCGGAGCATGTGGGTTCACGCACACAAGATGAGTGCATCTTGCACTTCCTGCGCCTACCCATCGAGGACCCCTACTTAGAGAGTTCGGAGTCGTCGCTGGGCCCGCTGGCCTATCAGCCCATTCCCTTCAGCCAGTCCGGAAACCCCGTCATGAGCACCGTCGCCTTCCTGGCCTCCGTGGTGGACCCGAGGGTGGCATCCGCTGCCGCCAGGGCCGCGCTCGGTAACGACAATGTACACCTACAAGAAAATACATCTCTCGTATATGTCAGAATACTGATTCGGAAGCGTCCCGTGTGGTTTGTGCAGAGGAGTTTTCCCGCGTGCGTGAGGAAGTTCCTGCCGAGCTGGTGGAGGCTCATGTGAAGAAGGTGCAAGAGGCGGCCAGGAACACTGGCAAGGTGGACCCCGCCTTCGGACTGGAGAGCAGTGGCATTGCTGGCACCGCCCCCGAGGAGCCAGAGAAAACAGGTGGGTCGCACTTAGCAGAAAACGCAGTGAACATTTACCATCACAATTATCGTGACCAAATTGCTCTTGGTTATCCTTATCAAGATGATTGTTAAAAGAATTCTTTTGTGCTCACGGGTAATTTTGATTGTAAAAATGGACAAATCATTTGTTGATGAGTAAAAAAGGAAATCCATTTTATTATACAAGTGTATTTTATTTTATTCATAAAATAGCATTCCAGTCTTTTATTTATATTTATAATTCACATATTTTAAGAAAAAATTGACATTTTAGGAAAAATTGTACAAATGAATACTCTGTTACAAGACTCTTCATAATACTGTAATGTGAATTCTCCATGAGCTGGGTTAGAGATCGGATTGTTTGCCCAGCCCTACAGAATGCACACAGGAAGACGGACGAGCAGGCGATAAGCAAATGAAGCAACTTAAATGTATGTTTTGGGCAGGAATAATTTTGGGGATTGTTAACAATTATTCAAGAATTTTAAACTACGATGCCAACTGTTTGAAATTGAAGTAGTAGACCAAATCTGGAGCTCCCCGCCTTTGGACTGGAGAGCAGTGGCATTGCTGGCACCGCCCCAGAGGAGCCAGAGAAAACAGGTGGGTCGCACTTAGCAGAAAACGCAGTAAACATTTTGTATCACAATTATCGTGACCAAATTGCTCTTGGTTATCCTTATCAAGATGATTGTTAAAAGAATTCTTTTGTGCTCACGGGTGATTTTGATTGTAAAAATGGACAAATCATTTGTTGATGAGTAAAAAAGGAAATCCATTTTATTATACAAGTGTATTTTATTTTATTCATAAAATAGCATTTCAGTCTTTTATTTATATTTATACTTGACATATTTTAGGGGGAAAAAAATCACATTTTAGGAAAAATTGCACAAATGTATACTCTGTTACAAGACTCTTCATAATACTGTAATGTGAATTCTCCATGAGTTGGGTTAGAGATTGGATTGTTTGCTCACCCCTACCGAGAGCATGGCACCAAGATGTATTCTGAATGCAAAAGCATGTTAAAGAAAACCCATGCGATTTTTACACATTCGCAGTTTTGAACAGTAGCAGCCAAATTGCATTTTCTTTTATGCAACATTCCCAAATGCATAATGAAACCGTCTTCTCTCATCGGTCGCGAGAATGCACACAGGAAGACGGACGAGCAGGCGATAAGCAAATGAAGCAACTTAAATGTATGTTTTGGGCAGGAATAATTTTGGGGATTGTTAACAATTATTCAAGAATTTTAAACTACGATGCCAACTGTTTGAAATTGAAGTAGTAGACCAAATCTGGAGCTCCTATTTTCATATGCGCAGCCACTAGAGGGCTGCAGATTGCAGGAAACCGTCTTCTCTCATCGGTCGCGAGAATGCACACAGGAAGACGGACGAGCAGGCGATAAGCAAACGAAGCAACTTAAATGTATTTTTTGGGCTGGAATAATTTTGAGGATTGTTCACAATTATTCAAGAATTTTAAACTACAATGAGAACTGTTTGTAATGTTGGCACGTGATCAACCCTGAAGCAATTCGATTGAAGTAGAAGACCAAATCTGGAGCTCCTATTTTGATATGTGCAGCCACTAGAGGGCTGCAGATTGTACCAGAGCGTTTGTTTGTCAGAAGTGTGTGTGTGTGTGTGTGTGTGTGTGTGTGTGTGTGTGTGTGTGTGTGTGTGTGTGTGTGTGTGTGTGTGTGTGTGTGTGTGTGTGTGTTCATATTTGCTACGTTCACCAGTGGATTAAAACCACAGAGCAGATGGCGTAAGGGAACACGTGGGGATGGGGGTGTTGCTGCAGGAAAATGGGTCATTGCACATCATGTTTTTCCCCCCACTGCCATCATCTTCATCATCATGGTCATATGTTATTCTTGATTAAATCTCACTTTAGATGTTTTTCACTCCGCCGTAATCATGTTGTTCCCGATTAAAGGTCACATGGAATCAATGTACTTTGTCCATGTTTACGCCCTCTTAACGCGTACTCAAGAAACACTTTAAATCATCTAACAAAATATGCTGCTGGTTTTTAATTTTAAATTTTTTTTTCCAGGTAATACACAGCTAATGTGAAAATATCCCAAGTTTTTCTTGAAAATATACTGCTTTTCACTAGACAATGTACAACTTTTCTTACAATTGCGATATATAACCTTTTCTCTAACACAATTGTTTTCTTTTTTTTTTTTTTTTTCAAGACAATGTATAGCCTTTTCTCAAACAACTTCTTTCTCGGAAGGAAATGGCATTCACAAACATTTCAACTTTATTTTTCTACAAATCAGTATCTTTTTCAGATGTTTTTCCTCCAAAATATACAACCATATTCTAAAAAAAGAAAAAGGAATTATCATTATTGTTTAATTATATTTTTTCCCCCAAAAAACAATCCAACTTTTGTTCCCTGTCCGCATTTCTTGGGAAGTATATGACATGTATACACCTTTTTTTTCACGAGGATACAACTCCAACCATCCACGTTCTAATCCGCTTATCCCCACGGTCCCGGGTGTGCTGGAGCCTATCCCAGCTGTTTTTGGGCAATAGGCAGGGGGAGACCCTGAATTGGTTGCCAGCCAAGCGCAGGGCACACATAGACGAACGACCATCACGCTCACAATCGCACCGAGGGACAATTTGGAGTGCTCTATTGACCTGCCATGCATGTTTTCGGAATGTGGGAGGAAACTGGAGTACCCGGACAAAAACCACACAGGCACGGGGAGAACATACAAACTCCACACACCCTGGACCTCTGCACTGTGAGGCCGGCATGCTAAATCAGTCGACCACCGTGCTGCTCACAATATAACTTTTTTTCAAAAACTACAATGCATGAGTTTTTACATTTAGAAAACTGTTAATTCCAACAAGGCAATGTATAGTAGTGATATTGAAAACGTTTTTGTAAATATAGTAGGGTTTTTTTTTTTTAATGTGAACATGCGAGTGTTATTGCAATGTAATGCCTTTTTTTTTCCTTCCCTTGCAGAGGCCACAGATGGTGACAAGACTGAGACGGACACAGACTCCCAGCAGGGGGATAAGGTGACGACATGACATAGCCGATCTATTGACATCCTCTCTTGGTGTGTAGAAATAAAATGGCAGACGGGTAAAGCGAGTCGATGTGTCCAATGAAAGCCACACTCACGTTTTAATGATTTCACTCAAAATAGAATCGCACTGCATCGTCACACGGTTTACCTCGTTTGACATCAGTCAAGTCACTTTTGCTTGTTCAAAAAGTACGCGTGCATGTTTTATGCTGTGTAAAATGCCTGTCTTACACCACCAGGCTGAGTCCAAGGACGAGACGGAGAAGACCAGCGAATCCACCGAGAGAAACGAGAAGATGGAGGCTCCTGAGAAGGTGAAGAAGGAGTCCGGGGAGGTGTCCGAGAGAGAGGACGAGAGCGAAGATGGGCATGAAGCCAAGTCCACGCCTGCTGGTAGTTCAGCTTCTTTTTACCTCAAACTTGCTGCACTAGACCTGTCTGGTCCAGTGCAGGAGGAAAAAGGATGAAGATGTAAAACAGTGAATGACTTCCAGGCTCCCTTCCTGCCAGACAGAGTTGAAGATGTCATGTGACTGGTCCTCTGTTATGTTACATTGCCGGTGTTGCGACACGTTCACAGTCATGTGGCATGTCATCTTCCCTCCTGCCAGACAAAGATGAAGAGGAGTCCATGGAGACGTCCTCCTCTGAACAGGAGGAGAAGGACAAGGACGATAAAGTCAGCACAGAGGAAGGGGAGGAGAAGAGGAAAAAGCCGGAACATGACATGGGCGAAGGAAACATCGCCACAGCGGCGGCCGCCGCCCTCGCCTCTGCTGCCACCAAGGCCAAGGTGACCCATCGGATCATAAATTAGTTGCAGCGCTGTTCCCTTCAGTGTTGAAAAGATTTTGAATGTGGTGTGCTTGTCAGCATCTGGCGGCGGTGGAGGAGAGGAAGATCAAGTCACTGGTGGCTCTGCTGGTGGAGACTCAGATGAAGAAGTTGGAGATCAAGCTGAGGCACTTTGAGGAGCTCGAAACGATCATGGACCGCGAAAAGGAGGCTGTAAGTCTCACTGCCGATCACAAAAGCCTTTAACCTCATTCTGCGCGCGGGTTTGTCTTCTTCCGTGTGAGCTTGTTGTGCCTTTGAACTAACAACTGAGGGGAGAAAAAAAGATGCCAAATAGCAGTTGGTTGCATTTTGGGGATGGTGGTGGGTGGTGAATGCGCTGGAGTCACAGCCATCTTGAAGCACGTTTGGCAATTCACTCTGCCGCTCTGTGCACAAGCTCCAGAGTGAATTTCCAAATGTGCCCCTTGTTCTATGGCCTGTCACCTGACTAATTGAATTTATATGCATCCTAAGTCCCCGTGCCCTGTATTTATTTATGATGTTGAAATTGACACCTGAGCTATTTTTAGACAGCGTGGCATTCCGTATCAACGAAATACCGCCCAAACCTAGTTTTCATACAACGTAAGTGTAGTGAACTAATACTCTTGCAGTGCATCTGTTACCGTTGACCTATACTGATACATATCCATTGTAAATTATCACTCGGCCCTAGCTCATGTGTGTGTATGCGTGCCCATGTGCTTGTGTGTGTGTGTGGCTGCATTCCTGTGTTGATGTTCTCCAGAGTTGATAGAGGACTAAAAAGCTCTTTATAAGGACTTGTTTACATTTGCTCCTGTGCTGCTGGACCAAATCCACAATCTCAAGCGATGCACTCCAGTCACCAAATGAGATGTTTGACTTGCCTCATGTGTTCTTGTTTCGTGGCAGGTGTCAGTCAAAATGTTAGCACGTCAACATTTGTACAATTCAGTTTAAGTTCCATCTCACAAATAATGTGTGTTGTCACATGGCGTTGGTGGCGTTTTAGTTGGAGCTACAGCGTCAGCAGCTGTTGACTGAGCGTCAGGCGTTCCACATGGAGCAGCTCAAGTACGCCGAGATGAAGGCTCGCCAGCAGATGGAGCAGCAGGCAGCAGCGGTAGCCGCCGCCCAGGCTCAGGGCCAGGGCCACGCCCCCGGACCCGGCCCCCACCCGGGACCACCGGGCATGCATCCCGGCGGCCCGCCCCCCCACCACGGAGCCCCACCGCCTCACCACGGAGGACCCCTGCCAGGTGCCGCCATGCACCCCGGGTACCCACCGATGGGCCACCACCCCATGGCGCCCCACCACCCAGGTCAAACAGGTGAGGCTGACCTATAGTCACACCTGCAGACACCTTCAAGTGTCACCTGTGAGACATTTTTTTTTCTTTTTCACACAGCTCCTATGGGCCCGGGTCAGCCCCTGCCTGGACGCATGATGGCCGGACCCCCCGCCGCCGGACCCCCACCTGGTGGGATTCCTCCCATGATGCCCCCGCGCCACCCAGGAGCTCCCAATGGCATGTGTGCGTAGTATAATCGCTCATGTGACATGACCTGTATGCCCCTTGTTTTTTGACATGTTCCCGGTCAAGAGATGACTGGACGTGACTATGGACATTCCTGATCATGGCACATGTTCTCATACAACACATCCACTGTCATGTGTCAGCATTCAACTTGCATCATACATACAACATATTACGTGTGCACCTGTCACGCAACGTGTCCACAGTCATCAAGTCCTGTTGCCAATGCGACATGTCCACTGCCATGATGACGTGTTGTCCTACCAGGTGTCCCTCTGAACGCAACGTGACACCCTTCACATTATCAACTTTAACTGACATGCATTTTTTCCGCCCCCTAGACCCAGGACCAGCGCCTGCACAACCTGATGTTGTGCCCCCACTCCCTGTTGGCCCTCCAGCACCCTCTGGTGGCCGTGCAGCAGACAACTAAAACCCCGCCCCCTACACACATGATCCACACACACTTGCAGCCTCTTTTACTGGCCTTTGCTACTCATCAATACCACCACTTGACAAACATCTTGGAATACACACACACACACACACATGCTCAGGGCTCTGTTCAGTGGCGAGGGCAACACATACACTCACGTTATATACACTGTTTTTGCTGAGTTGGGCCTGATGGAGGCTGTAGACAAACACTGTACAAAGTAACCACCTCCAACCTGGCGAGTGTCTACCTCGCATCAAATTTACACTGAATGTGTGTGCGTTCGTGCGCGCTTGTGTGTGTGTGTGTGTGTGTGTGTGTGTGTGTGTGTGTGTGTGTGTGTGTGTGTGTGCATGCGCGTGTGCGTGTGTGTGTGCGCGCGCGTCAGTCAGACACTGCATCAGTGCATGTGTCGAACTTGAACTGAAAATGTGAATGTCGAGGTCTTGTGCATGTGGGCGTGCTTGCCTACCTGTGTATGGTTGTGCTGAGATGAATGTGACTGTGTCTGACTTAACACTGAATGTTTGTGAATGTTTTGACCATTGTGAGCCTCTCCTACTTTTCTGCGCCTGTTAAGCAAAACAAAGATGACAGAATCAAATAGTTGCGCTCGGCCCTTTCCCAAAACACACACACGCACACAAATCTGAGGTTCAGACTGGAGCTGAAACATGCACACACGCGTGCACACACATGTACACCCACACACACACACACACACACCGGCTGCCTTTGTCGGTGCGACTGTGACGTCTTGCGCTAACGCCTAAACCCGCCTCCTCCTCCTCTGCTTCCTAACGCTGCCTACCTCGCTAGCCGCGCCCCCGTCATTCACCCTCCTGTGCTTTGATTGGTCGACCGTGTTGGACAAACTTCATGTTCATACTGTGTGCGCGCGTATACCTGGCCACTTAGCTAACACACTAATATGAACTTTATTCTTTTTGAAATGATGTAATAAGAGCATAAATGAGTTCAGCGCGGTCCACACTCAAAGTGACTGAACAGCTAGTACTGTTAGCATCTCTGCTACCTCCTCTATCTCCTCCTGGCTGGCTACCTCTTCTAGAACCTTCCTCTGGCTTCTCTTGTAGAACCTTTAGCCTCTTAGCCTCCTGCTACCTCTATTTCCTGTTTCCGTTTTTTTTTTTTTTTTTTGTATTTTGTTTTGGTAAGGCGTCCTCGTGGAATCACAGCACGCTGTCGCAGGCAAGCTAGCAATCCTGTTTGTTTCACCACTGTCGCATATATGATCTTTAATGGCTACTATTGGTATTTTTAAAGGAGTTTTTGTGTAGATGAACTTGTGTTCTTTGTAGCATTTCCTTTGATTTTTGTATCTGGTCCGATTGCTACGTGGACCTCAACGCTGGCCAATAAAATGTTTTTCTTGTTTTTCTTTTTTTTTGTTTGTTTGTTTAACAAACGCTCCTCCGTCAAGTCTCATTGTCTTTGAATGTCCCATTGGCACGCAAAAATGTTTTAATCATAACCATAATTCTTGTATTTCATGTTGGTTTTAGGATAGAGTGAATAGGCAGCATATTGTGCTCATTAGACTCTAAAAGAAACAAATGGGCCCGGTCGTTTTTAGATTAAAAAGAAGAAAAAGGTTATATCTATGTAATTTAATGTGTATGAAATTTACAGTAGAGGGGGGGGCAGGGATATAGCGAAAATCTACTTATAATTGTCAGCCATTGAAATGCATTTTGGCGATGAATAACGTTTTTAACCCAAATACACATGTAAACCTCCACTAAAAAATGGGTACGGTATACTCCAAATATTTTGAAATGTGGGAAAAAAATAGCTTACAAATATATTTTTATTTCACATGCAATCCCAACGCAATGAGCGTTAACATGATCATAAAATCCTGTAATATTTGTTGTATGATGGTAGCACTTTCTGACTGCTTCATTATTATTATTATTTAAAACATTTATCTCATTAAATTGATGTGTTACATATCAGGCATGACTGGTTCGCACATCCACTTCACAGTGCAGAGGTGCAGGGTTCGATTCCGGCTCCGGCCTTCCTGTGTGGAGTTTGCATGTTCTCCCCTGAGCCCTGCGGATTTTCTCCAGGTATTCCCGTTTTCTCCCACATTCCAAAAACATGCACGGCACCTTAATGGAACACTCTAAATTGTCCCAAGGTGTGAGTGTGAGCGCGGATGGTATTTCATCCATGTGTACCCTGCAACTGGCTGGCAACCAGTTCCGGGTGTGTACCCTCGCTTACTGCCCAGACAGCTGGGATAGGCTCCAGCATGCCCGCGACCCTTGTGAGGAGAAGTGGATTAGAAACTAGATCAGGGGTGTCAAACTCATTTCACATGGTGGGCCACATACGGCCTCGGGAGATGTCAAGTGGGCCGGACCATTAAAATGATACCATACTTTGCTATAAATAACCAAAACAATATGTCTTTCCTTTGTTTTGGTGTAAAGAAGCACAAGAACATTAGGAAAATGTTGAAATTTAATGAACATATCTTTTACAAAACATTTCATGAAGCACCTTACATTTCCTTCGACAAATGTGCAATTTACTTTTATCATTCACATATATGCATTGCAACTGATCCCACTGATTGTACAAACTTTAACAAGTAATTGGTATTGAAAAATATAGATTAATTCTGTGTCTTTAATGCATTTTTTTCACTTTTAAATTATCCTGCGGGCCTGATTGAACCTCTTTGCGGGCCGGTTCCGGCCCGCGGGCCGTATGTTTGACACCCATGAACTAGATAGATGGATGTTATATATCAATGTCATTGAAAACATATTTGGCAAATAGCCAATTTTCTTATCCATCCGCATATACGCATGACGTGATGATAAAATGGTGGACTGGTGAAAATAATCGGAGGCGTTAGCTAATCTTTCCTCCGAGTGGTACGTTGACGTCACCGCAGTTATGGAGAGTCTCATGGTGGATTAATTCAATATTTTCTTGTGGGTGTAACACCTACACAAGGGGTTGGGCAAAATAAGACCTGGAGGGGTCACATATGGCCTGCGCCTGTTTTTTAATCTGGCCCGCCAAGCATTTACATCTGCTGATATCATCATCGTTTAGTGCACTCGTATTGACAGTTTTATTTTTCTCACTTCTAATGCAATATCAAACCCTTAATAGTACGCTGCGCTAGTAGACTTTTAAGACCCTACTAGCTGAACCAAAATTCCCACTAGAAGTTCTCCACTGTCCATAAAGCCAATTGAGGATTTTTTTTTAAATATCCAATTTTAGGTCTATGTACCATCTTTGTCCACACTAGTAAAATGAATGTGCCTTCTTTTTTTGTTTTTAAGAATTACTCACAGTACTAGCATCCTGCGATTTTCACTTGCACCGGTACATTTTTCTCACTATAAACAGGTAATTGTCCTACTAGTAACGAAAAATAGCACACTTGAACATGGACCTACATGGGCTTTCCATAAACCTTTTTGAGTGTTAATTTGATATTTTTAATATCTAGTTTGAGGTCATTGTACTAGTCTGCTCTTTGTCCTCACTGGTAAGGCAGCTCAGCACACTCGTAGAAAATTTATGACTGATGTTTTTTTTCCCACTTCTGTATGACTTTCCACACGCAAGTAGGACAGCATCATTTTCCATGTGCAACTAGTACTTCTTGTGAAGCGCTCGATGTTAACTAGATACTTAGTATCTGTACTTCCAATAAGGATGATGAGTCCTTTTCCCAGCGCTGTGTAAAATGTAAGAGGATGTTTGTTGTGGTTGGTGGTGGAGTGTTTTTAGGAGGGGGAGGGGCTGCAGACGTGTGGAGCGAGGGGGTGCAAGCAAGAATTACTTCTGCTCTGGTTAGCAAACACAACAGAAAAGAAACAACAAAAAAATAACACACTTGTGGGGGTGGGGGGGTCGTGTTTGTGTGTGTGTGTGTGTGTGTGTGTGTGTGTGTGTGTGTGTGTCACAAGTTTGATATCACAACACTGCGCCACTTGCACCCCCAAGCAGATTTTGACACGTGCGCTCTACGTTGTATGTGTGGTTCTATGTATTGTTCAGGTCAATAATAGTTTGGTCGTACGGTTCTATGCTAAACTGCTCTACATTGTGCATTTCTATGTTTACACAGTGATGCCTTGGCGTACAATTCCTCTTATTCCTTGAACAATCTTATCATCACGTTTCAAATCATCTTTCCGCATTAAAATAAACAGAAATTTGTTCCAGCTCCCCCCAAAAGCCCATCAATAAAAAAAATTGGGAAATGTGTTTTGAATGAGGAAAATCGCGGTCACTCTATGATATTATGCTTCATAAAATGCTGAAATAATGTGTGGAATGTAAGCAACTGTGAATCATGACTTCATGCTTCATTGCTGTTTGAGATTGTGCTGCTCCTTCAGATGTTTTCCGTGACCACCAGGGGGCAGTCCAATACACGTTGAACAAGAGTTTCACAACTGAATGAATGCCGGGGTTTTTTTTTTTTTTTGATGATCATAAAAATATGCAAACAATATGTACCGCAATGCATGAACATCATATACAAAGTTAGGACATAGTACTATCTGCCGATGCATGAAAACAGCGACTTGGTGAGTAAATTTCAGAGGACAGACCCGCCCCCCCACGACCCTCTAATCAGCCAAATAGAGAGAGGTGTAAACAGTGAGTAAAATACAAGTGAACAAGCTGTCACTCATGTTTGGGAAGTTTTGAGAAGGGGAGGAGGGCGGATGAGGAGGATACGAAAGGAGGGGGAGGAGGAGTTGGGGACCAAAACACCACCCCCTACTTCCCCGTCCTCTCTCTCTCTCTCTCTCTCTCTCTCTCTTCTCTCTGATTGTCTTCTTTCATTCCCGCCACTGTGAGTGAGCCGAGCTGGATCGCACCGAGTGAAGTCCTTGAACGCATCACCGCTCGTGGCTGGGGGGCGATGGAGCCGTGAGCCGAACCGAGCCGAACCTAGGGGCGATTCTGCTGAGTGAAGAAGACTCCTCTTCCTCCTCCTCTTCTTCTTATTCGTCTTCTTCGAGCGCACGTTCCTGTGCTGTGGGCTGCGCGTGCACGCCGAGCATGGCGACCAGCTCGTGCACGGGAGGCTGCCGCCGACGCACGCGGATGGCGCGCACGTTACCGCCGCTGCTGCTGCTGTTGTTGCACTTCATCTCCGTGCACGGTAAGGAAGACTCACGCGCACGCCGCCTCCGCTGTCCGTCAACGCCGTGCCGCACGTGCACGGGGAAACGAGGTCACGTGACCAGACAGATGTTCACTTATTAGTACACTTGAAATCAGGTCAGCGTGGCGCGCGCGCGCTCGAGGCGGCCGCGGGACGCAGATTGATGTCGGCGTGTACGCGCGCGGCACAAAGAGGCGAAGCGCGAGATTAGCGCGAGCATGCATAATGCATGAGGGGAGCGGGCGCGCACGCACGCACGCGCGCACGGACATTCTGATACTCACAAAAGCGCGACGGCGGGCTCTTTGTCCACCAAGCGGGCCGCGCGCACGTCAAATAACCACGCGCTTGCACGAGACGCCGACAGCCTCAGCATGCCGAACTTGTTTACTGTGAATTTATCAATAGATAGTTATTCTACTTCCAGTCGACATTCGTCTGCCCTTACGTGACTGAGTAAACGATGAAGTGATTTTGTCAGCTACTCAATGTGATTTTTTTTTTTTTTTTATCAAATGTGAATCAGGAAGTTTTTTTAAATGTGACTCTTTATGTAACTCTGTGTGTGACTTGCTATCCGTTATAGTGGTACGTTGACTTACTAAATGACTGTGATAGGTGACTTAGTATTTGACTCAGAATGTAACGAGGTAACGGCCCGTTGGTCCAGTGATTAGCACGTTGACCTCACGGTGCAGAGGTACCAGGTTCAATTCCAGCTCCGGCCTCCCTGTGTGGAGTTTGCATGTTCTCCCCGAGGCCTGCGTGGATTTTATCCAGGTGCTCCGGTTTCCTCCCACATTCCAAAAACATGCATGGCAGACTGATTGAACACTCAAAATTGTCCCTAGATGTGTTTGTCTCTGTCTGCCCTGCGATTAAATGGCAACCGGTTCAGGGTGTCCCCCGCTATTGCCCGAAGACGGCTGGGATAGGCTCCAGCACCACCCCCCCCCGCCCCCCGCGACCCTTGTGAGGATAAGCAGATCGGAAAATAGATGGATGGTAACTAAGTAGTTTCCTAAGTGAGTCAGTAAAGCATCTCACATGGAATGTGAATTGGTAAGTGATTTAGTATGCAGCTTGTTAATTGGCTGAGCAAGTGACTCAGTCAGCAACTCGGTATCTGACTCAGTTCGTGGTTCAGTGCATGACTCAAGTTACTCAGTCAGTGTTTTAGTCGGTTACTGTGTATGTGACGAGGTAAGCATATCTGACTCAGTAATTGCCTTCGGATGGAACTCTGGAAGTGACTCGGTATTGACTCTGTATGCGAATTCAACGTGTGGTTGTGCATATGTGTCACGTGAATGCAAATGGCCATTGATTAAAATGCAAAGCTAAGCTCACGCTACGCTATTTAGGTCATACATTAGTCGTATGCTAACAGACATGATTCCAGGTTGGAGCGGTTGTTCGTGTGTGTGTGTGTGTGTGTGTGTGTGTGTGTGTGTGTGTGTGTGTGTGTGTGTGTGTGTGTGTGTGTGTGTGTGTGTGTGTGTGATTCCAAAACCTGTCTCTACTCACCTCCTTCTTGCCTGCACGCTGCAAAGGAACCCGGTGAACTCGAAGAAGTCATATCTGCATCCCGCTGCAGGAAGCGAGCTGTTGCCGTGGAAACTGCATCTCTCTTTGTTCGCGTGTGTCGTTGTGAAGTAGTGTGCAGAATGCACCCTTGTTACATAACCGGCAAACACAAACATACAAGGATGCAGAATGCATATCGATACACAGGTACCTTGAATCGCGCGTGCCCTCGCTTCCGTCTTATAGTTATAAGATGTCAGTTAGTCAATTTTGCAGGTTTGTCGTTGTTACAGTGAAGTAAAAAAAAAGACCAATTGCATCAAATATCAATACTGCAACGATTTATGTCAAGACAATATCGATACACTGCTATCAAATATCGGTATTACAACGTGCTGTTATCTTTTATGATACGGGATTAATATAGTATCATCAAATATCAAAGTAGTCATATATTGTGTCATGAGCTATTATTAATATTATGGTTATTGTTATTATTATATGTACCAGTGTGAAAGACATCACGATTATTTTGGTGAATGAAGGGCTACCGTTTGGATGGACACACAAATTAGTATGACTTTCTGCCGTCTAGCGGAAGAACATTTCATAGTTCTGCCTCTCACTATACATTGCTGGCATAGATAGAGAAGCAAAGATGCATTATTTGGAGTACATAAATGTGATTGGCATTATCACACAGCTGTTGCACGGCTATCGTTGGCAAACTTGGGATGTTGTATCACAAGTAACTCTGCAGTTTCCTCAGTCAGTGTACTGCATGTGTGTGTGTGAGTGTACGCATGTGCAGCGGTGGATTGTGGGATGTCTGCAAAGATTTAACCCATGCATGACCTCAATGGTGAACTGAAAAACGACAACAAAGAGATCCGAAAGCTCGTCTGATACCACAAAGCAGCAGATGTTCTGCTGTGCTTTGTGTTAGTGTGTGTGTGTGTGTGTGTGTGTGTGTGTGTGTGTGTGTGTGTGTGTGTGTGTGTGTGTGTGTGTGTGTGTGTGTGTGTGTGTTGGGATGTGAAGGGTGCGTTTCCATGACAACAGATGCTGCTGATCCAACTGGATGGAGGAACGTCACCCCATCATGCTTGCGCGCTTCTGTGTGACTGCCATCAAAAACCCAATAAAACATTTGGTTTTATTGGGTCCGCTGTGCGTTGACGACGTTCTTGTTTCCACCACATCAAAAAAAAAAACGTTTGAGAGCAGAGAACGATCCAAAGTGACTGAAACCACTTGGAGGAAGAAACATTTTCCACAACTCGGATTTCATGTCATCGGATCAGGATCAACTTAACTATCCCCTCGGGAAGCGCTTGCAACCAGCATACATACGTACTGTACGTACACATACATGCAGATGCATATGCAAATGTTCTACCTGGCACACATATATGCGCGTAGTGTCCAACGTGTAATGAAAGTGTGTGTGTGTGTGTGTGTGTGTGTGTGTGTGTGTGTGTGTGTGTGTGTGTGTGTGTGTGTGTGTGTGTGTGTGTGTGTTGAAACTGATGATGGTGTCCTCACTAATCTTTAATCTGGACTCTCTAGTGTTGGAGTGCATTAGTCAATGACTCCTTTAATCCATCCCATAATGCCTCACCGATCATGTGATGTCATCCGAGTGTGTCAGCGCAAGAGTTCACTTCCTATTTGTGTGTGTTTACAGGAGTCGTCACGGCGACCAACACCACCGAACTGGCCGCCGCCCTCAACGGGACCGCCGCGCTCAGCGAGCAGGAGGGTCCCACCGATGTCGGCCGTGCTGTCACCATGGGAACTGGACCCGGCGGTTCCGTCACTGTGACGCCCAGGGCGGGCCGGGTGGCCCGGGGCGGCGGCGAGGAAGAGGAGCTAAGCAGCGGCATGTTTGGTGAAACGGCAGTGCCGGAAGCGGGCGGCGCGACATCACCATCTCAGATCAGCCTTGATTCAGCAGAGACAGAGCTGCTGTTGCCGGGCAACCGTCTACCAGCTGATGTGGTGGAGGAGGAGCCTCTGGCGCCTAGTGACCCGCCGTGGATCA